GCATGAATCAGTACTTTATTTCTGTTTCTACCTGAGTAATATTCTGCTATATACATATACCACATTTTGTTTTTCTCTTCATTAGCAATGGACGCTTGGGTTGTATCCACTTTTTGGCTACTGTGAGTAATGTGCTCTGGACATTTGCATGGAAATAGAGTTTTCAGTCTCACAGATGTATTGACCTAGGAGTGGAATTCCTGGGTCATACGTTAGCTCTGTGGTTAAGTTCTTGAGGAAGTACCAAATTGTTTTTACAAGCAGCTGCACCGTTTTTCATTTCCACCAACAATATATGAGGCTTCCAGTTTCTTCACATCCTCACCAACACTTATTTTGTCTGACTTTTTGACTAGTGCCATCCTAGTGTGTGTGAAGTGGTATCTCATTGTGGTTCTGATTTGCATTTTCCTAATGACTAATGATGTTGAGAATCTTTTCATGTGTTTATTGGCCGTTTGTTGATCTTTTTGGAAAACATATCTATTCATATCCCTTGCCCATTTTTAAATTGGGTTATTTGTAAAAACATGAATTTAAAATCATCTGGTAAGCAAATGCAGTTATTCTCTGTAGGAGTATACTTTCCATCTTAGAGTTTTGAAGTCAGTGATCATTAATTTGTTGCCAAAGATAACTCAAGTACATAAGGAAATAAGACAACTTGAGCAAGAATCAGCAGAAACAGTAGATAATTAGAAGTAAACTTACAAAAGCTTTATGTATTGGATTAGCAGTCATTGACTATTAAAATAACTATGATGGACTATTTTAAGGATATAAAAGACAAGTTTAAAAATAGATGCAGGGAGCAGGAAGCTTAAAAGTGACAGAGATACAGAGCTGGTTAAAAAAAGAACAATGTAATTTCTATTCATGAAAAATGCAGTAATGAAAACTCAAAACTCATTTGTTGCGTTTAACCACAAATTCTGGGATATAGATCAGAATAAATTATTCAGAAAACAGCTCAAAGAGACAGAAATGGAAAATATAAAAGAGATTAAGAGACATGGAAATGAGAGTCATCAGAATGAGAAGTTATAGTGAGGAAGTCTAATAAATTGGAGTTTTTGAAAGAAATAGAGAATAGGCAAAGCAATATTTAAAGAGATAATGATGGAAGATTTTTCAGTACTGGGAAATCTACCAGTACTGGTGGAAAGACATCAATCCACAGATGGGTTATTCCTTGATTGCTGAATAGTATTTCATCGTATAGTTACAGTACAATTCGTTCATTCACCTGCTGATAGACATTTGATAGTTTGGGCTATTTCAGGTAGAGCTGCTATGAACAGTAGTGTACAAGTCTTTGTGTGGATAGTATCATTTCTTTTTTCTTGACCTAGGAATGCGATGTCTTGATCATATAAAGGAGGTGTGAGCTTAATTTAAGACACTGCCAAGCCATTTGATATTGCAACCAGTTGAATATGAGAGTTTTACTTGTTCTGCATGCTTGCAAACTCTTGAATGGCCAGTCTTTGCAATTTTATCCTTTTCATTAAGTGTGTAGTATTATCTCATTGTAGTTTTAATTTGCAGTTTTCTAATAACTAATGGTGTTGAACATACTTTCATATGCTATTTTGTCTTCTTGTATATTTCTTTGGAGAAGGGTCTGCTCAAATACTTTGCTTATTTTTAAATTATGATATTTTTCTTTTATTGTTGAATTGTAATAGTCCATATATTCTAGAGATAAGCTCATTATTTGGTTTATGATTTGCAAATATTTTCTCCCAGTCTTTGAATTATCTTTTCACTTTGTTGATGGTGTCTTTGTAATATATCAAAATATAACTAATACATCAAAATTTTGTTATTTGATTTAATGTATCTAAATTTTCTTTTACTGCTGTGCTTTTGGTGTCATATGTAAAAAATCAGTGCCTAACGCATGTTCACAAAGAATTAATTACTTCTGTGTTTTTTTCTAGGAGTTTTGTAATTTTAACTCTTACATATAGGTGATCAATTTTGAGTTAATTTTTATGTACAGTATATGGTAGTCATTCACTTTTTTTTTGCATGTGGATATCCATTTGTCCCAGCACCATTTGTTGAAACAACTATTCTTTTCTCTTTAAAATTTCTTGGCACCTTGATTGGCCATGAATGTATAGTTTTGTTTCTAGGCTCTCACTTTTATGCCATTGATCCATATGTCTGTCCTTATGCCTATATTGCAGTCTTAATTACTGCCGCTTTGTGGTAAATTTTGAAGTCAAGAAGTATATCTTCCAACTTTGTTCTTTTTCAAGATTGTTTTGGCTCTCTGTTTTTTGCATTTTCGTATGAATTTTAAGATCACCACTTCTGTAAAGAAGCTGAAAGGGATTGTGTTAAATCTAGAAAATTTGGGGTATATTGTTAAATCTTAATATGTCTTTCAATCCATGAAAATGGGATGTCTTCATTTATTGAAGTCTTCTTTAATATCTTTCAATAATGTTTTATAGCTTTCAGTGTACAGGTTTTGCATTTCTCTTATTAAAGTATTCCTAAGTATTTTAGGGTTCTTTTAGATATTATTATGAATAGAATGGATTTCTTAATTTCAGTTTTAGATTGTTCATTTTCAGTGCATGGAAATACAGCTAGTTTTTGTAATCAATCATATGTCTTGGCAACTGTGTGCAACTTGTTTATTACTACTAAAAGTTTTTAGTGGATTCCTTTACTCATTTTATTTACAAGATCAAGTTATCTGTAAATAAAGAAAGTTTTACTTTTTCATTTACAGTATGGGTGTCATGTATAGCTTTTAGTCTAATTGCACTGGCTAGAACCTCCAGTACATTGTTGAACAGAAGTGGTAGAAGTGGACATCCTTGTCTTTTGCTTGGGTTTAGAGGGAACGTATTCAGTCCTTCAGCAGCTACAGTGATGTGAACTGTAGCTTTTTCACAGATACTCTTTATTTCGATGAGAATATTCTCTTCTATTCCTTGTTTGATCAGCTTTCCTTTTTATCATGAATGAATATTGGAATTTTCAGATTTTTTTTGTACTTACTGAGATGATCACGTGATTTTTGTCACGTGTTTTATTATGTAATGTATTACATGAATTGATATTCAGACGTTAAACCAACCTTGCAATCCTAGGATAAATCTCACTTGGTTATGGTGTTTACATGTTTCTGGGTTCAGTCTGCTAGCATTTTGTTGAGAATTTTTGTGTCTATATTCATGAGGAATAGCCATCCTTTTGTTGTTAATTTATTTGTGTCTATATTTAAAGTACATTTCTTGTAGCCAGCATATAGTTGGGTTGCGTCTTTTTGGCCAATCTGACAGTCTCTGCCTTTTAATTGGTGTATTTAGAGCATTTACACTTAACGTGACTTTCGGTATGGTTAGGTTTCATTGTGTCACTTTGCAGTTTTTTATTCATCCCACCTGTTTTTTGTTCCGCCTAGTGTGTAATCTTACTGTTTGTTTACTACTCATCCCAACTGTTCTTTGTCTCCCCCTTTTTCTCTGCTTTCTTTTATATTAAGACTTTTCTTCCTATAATTCCTTTTGATCAGCCTTTTGGCTCATTAGCTAAGCCTCTGTTTTCTTAGTTCAGCGGTTGCTCTAGGGTTAACAGGACATACGTTTAACTTGGCAGAGGGCGGCAGAGGCACCGCTGCGTGCTGGTGCCGACTGAGGCTGCTCGCGGGGCTGGCAGGGCTTCCGTGGAGGGCGCAGCCTGGGTGGGTCCACAGGGCCGTGCAGGGCTGGGCTGGGCGGCGCTGGCAAGGCTAACGGAGAGCGTCGGAACGGCACCTGTCGTCAGCAGACCAGCGAGGAGGGAAAAGGGCCTAGAAAAGGGGAAAGAGTGGCGCCCACCAGCGCTTCTGATGCTGGAGAAAGATCCCTGGCTCTCCAGCACGCTCCCCAAAATTAGTGTATCGCCTCCCGGTGTGACCCGCGTGCTTTTCAAGCTGCCACCTCTGTGCTGGGACTTGGGAAGAGCACAGTCTTCGTTTCCCTCGGCTCTCTGTTACGGCGGCTCCTCTCGGCGGTGCGGACCCCCGGGCTGCACTCAGGCCCCTCCCTCTTGTGAGGGGGACTCTCTGTAGCTGTGATATCCCCCGCGCTGGTGGGTCACCCCATGGGGATTGGAGGGTGGGGCAGGGCTTGACTAGACTGAGCCTCTGCCCCCCTTACCCTCTCAAGGTGGCTTTTTCTTTATATCTGAAGTTGTAGAAAACCTCTCCTGCTAGTTTGCAGTGCGTTCCCAGAGACAGCTGTTCTCGATGCAGTTGTAGTTTCGGTGTCAGTGAGAGGAGGTGAGCTCAGGATTTTGCTGCTCCGCCACCTTGCACCTGAAAGCCAGGAGTCTTGCTCTTGACTGCCAGTTTAGCTTGTCCGTGAAATGTCATTCCGTGCGATTGGTACACTGTCCCTCCAACAAACGTGTCTCCTGGACGTGAAGTTCTTACATGGTCTTGTATTTCAGGTAAATTTTAAACAGACTCCCTTTTTTTCTAATATATCTTATTTGTGACTTAATTAGTTGGTGGGGTGTGTGTGTGTTACAGTGATTAAGATATATTTTTCTCCTAATGTAATTCTAAGCATTAAACTATCTCATGAAGTATGAAGTTATTTGTTTTTTGGCCCCATGATAGGGTCTTTGGTTTACCAAAAGAATTAATTTGGAGCAAGTGAAATCTTTCTCACACTTTTGTTATGAGTGCCATCTTATATTTCAAGTTTTGCTTGGTCATCAATCGAGATACACAAGGCAAAAGAGAGTATTGAGAGTGGAGATTTTCTTTTTTCCAGATGAACATTGAAATTTTTCGTTTAGTAATTTTAAGCATGTTATTTTATTAACTTAAAAGGAGCCCAGGTTATACAAATTACATATAGGAACAAAAATCTATCATCCTCTAAACATTTGAATGTCTTAGAAAGGCGGGTAATATAATTTATTGTATTTAGTGATTCCTGACGACATTAAGCATGATCATTTCAACTTGTTTTCTGTTCTGCCAACAGATTAATATTAAAATTGGAAGTTTGTATCTCTCGCTCGATTCTGGAAATTGAATGTAATGGCAACAGAATTTATAAAGAGTTGCTGTCAAGGATGTTTTTATGGTGAAACAGAAAAGCACGACTGTAAGTTTCATTTTGCTTTGACTTCAACAAACACTTATTTGTGGCATTTTGTAATAAAAGGATAAATGAGACATATTTCCTAACTTCATGGGAGAGGCAGACACATAAATATAAGACCCACTAGGTAAGTGTCAAAATACCCTGGAGCATGGGGGGAGAGATGACTCCAACCCAGGAGACACCCTGGGACAGTCCCACAGGGAAGGTGGCGCTAGGCAGGGGAGCGTGAGGAGGGTTTTAGCGAGCTAAGTGGGAGGAAGGATGGAGAGAAGCTGAGCACCGGGCAGGAATGTTACAGGCGGATGAAGTGTAGGCAAGGTCGGGAGAGAAGCATTGGGTGTGTTTGGAGGACCGCGTGCTCTGGCACATGTTTTAACGTCCGTTTGTGAACAGTGCATTAAAAATGCCTTTTGCGGGTGAATGACCAATAGAGGAGGACACATGGAGAGAAGAGACCCATACAGTTATCAAGACCCACATATTTCAAGGAGTCCTGGAGATTTCTCTTTCTATTGCATGGTTTCCTCATCTCTTCAGGATTATGACGGGAACTTTGCTTTTCATTGTTTTTTTCTCGTATTTCTTAGTCTAGAGCATAGCTTCCTAGTATATTTGAGTATGAAGGCTTCTTTTTTGCACTGAAACATTTTATAAATCAATACACAATGGTAGTTATACTTTTATTCATTCTATAGACAATACCGATGATACATAGACTGTGGGCCATCCCTTACCTCCCCATCCTAACTCACGCATTTTAGGAGTCACATATCGTTTTAGAGAATGGACAACAGAGGTCAGAGATGCTTGCACAGGGAGAGTGGCTATTATATTCGGGTCAGTGTATATTTTATTTTGTAATTTGGTGAAGATTTTTGTAGACTTAGAGACCTAAATTTAGCTTCTTTTCAGAGTTGCTTTATGTATTTAAGACTGATGTTAGTCTTAGTATTACATTAGTATTGACAAGAATTGCTTAGATTTTACTTGAAAATATTGTGTAATTAACTTCAAAATAAACTTGTTTTCCATCTGTGAACTCTTTTGTGGAAATGAGACTCTTTATAGACTGCGCTTACCCTTATGATAAATTAATATACTTTGGCAGTAGTCTATTAATTACTCAGCTATTGGCCGGACAGAATTGCTGTGGAGTCCAGATGTGTTTGATAGGACCCAAGAGTAGTTTCTGTATCAGCAGTTTTTTCTAAAGTGATTGAAAAAGTACCAGAGCGTGTTAGGTTTAGATTATTATATATAAATCTACATGCATATTTGTGATTTTTTTCTCTTTTTCTTTCCTTTCCCCTTCTTTTACATGCAGTGTCCATGGAAAGAGACTTCCAAACAGCCGCCTCCGATAGCTACAGTACCCCTGTCTGTGTACCTCCCATGACCGCTGTTTCCGTAAGGCCTCAGGTTGGCTGTTCTGAGGATTATTTACTTTCCAGATTACCATCTGATGGCAAGCAAGTACCGTTTGTGGTGCCCAGGTTTAAGTTATCTTATATTCAGCCCAGGATACAAGGAACTGCTTCGCATCTAGAAGAACTTGAAGGTAAACAATAGAATGGCAGGGTTTAAAAATCAATGTGCAGCTTTTAAATGATGTTATTGTGCTCTTTTGCATCTTTAACATAAAGATACACCTTTTGTACACAGGTTTTATATTTCACTTCTTATGTTTTGTTCTTTCTATAGAGGAACTTAATGTATAGTATCTGACCATAATACAACACATTTGTATGTAGATTTGGTCTCTTTTAAAGGAATGTTATAACCATAGTACATCAGTTATCCTTCACCATCTAGAAAGAAAAATAGAGGAATTATTCTGTATTCATTAGTAAATATAGGAAACAGTCTGTCTACTGTTTTCTAAAGTTTGGTGTATAAAGAAATAAGGAAGCAATAAAGGAGTCATTCTTCCTTCTCATCTTTCTACACCACTACAGTTCCCAGTCTGTAAATACACTTGCCACTCTAAATAGCTGCTTGAATGAGGTAGATTCATTGACTGAATTTTGGCTGATGTTGTAGGGGCCACTGGACTAATGAAGAGGAAACAACATGTAACTCTTGTATTTTAAAAAATAATTTTGTTTTAGTGGATTGAAATATTCAGCCACAATGATTATTTTCTCTCAAAATTTTATTATGAAAAATTTCAAACATACATAAAAATTAAAAGAACTTAACAGTGAATACCTATACATGCGATCTGCCCAGAAAAAGTCCAGCCATTGTTAATATAACCAGAATGTTTTGTGTGACACCGATGTAACCTGGCAGCCAAGGAGAGTGGACTGGAATGCACATGCATGAACAATGATGACTTCACTGTACTAGTCAGTGGAGGTTGTAGACGCCGTTGAGTGAGCATGTGTCCTGTGTGGCTGTCACATTTAAAACAACTGAGCAAGGAGAGCAGCGAATCTGCATCAGATTTTGTGTTAAGCTAGAACATTCCTCTGTGGAAACTCTTAAGAGGATTCAGAAGGCCACAGCTGTGGGCAACTGGTGATTAGCAGCTTCATCACAACAACGCCCCCCACTGATGCATCACAGCTCATGCACATTTTCTCAAGACTAAAATCACCTTTGAAAGGGAAGAGATTTCAGACCATTGATGAAATTCAGGCAACTACAACAGGGCAGCTGATGGTGATTGAGAGAACTGTGTGAGGTCCCAAGGTGCCTGCTTTGAAGGCAACTGAGGAGTCATTGTCCTGTGTACAATGTTTCTTGTATCTTGTATCTTCTTCAGTAAATGTTTCTCCATTTTTCATAGCACATGGCCGGATACTTTCTGGATGGACCTCTTATTTATCTACCACATAGATCCTTACATTTACATTTTTTTGTTGTTTAGTTTTTATTTCATAATCATAAACTTAATCTGCAGTCCAGCTAGAGTTGGAAGGGGTAAGGAAACATGGAGCCCGATGAACTGCGGCAAAAGCGCGAAGATTATAGAACATTCCAAGCAGGTGGGGGTGAAGGGGTGCTCTCTTGAGCTACAGAAGGAATGGTCTGGTGGTTAAGATAAAACACAAGTCAAATGTATTAGCGTTGTCCACAGTCGGTAATGGTGATCGTGCTGGTCTTGCCGTTCCTGGACCCACAGCGCTCCATGGCTGTCACAACGTCCACGCCGTCCTTGCCCTGGCCCAAGACCACATGCTTGCCATCCAGCCACTCGGTCTTGGCAGTGCAGATGAAAACCTGGGAACTGTTTGTCTTGGGTCCAGCATTTGCCATGGACAAGATGCCAGGACCTGTGTGCTTCAGGATGAAATTTTCATCATCAAATTTCTCCCCATAGATGGATTTGCTGCCTGTACCGTTGTGGCGTGTGAAGTCACCCCCGATCCCAGCACATCAATCCCAGAATAATTCGGTGAAAGCAGAAACCTTTATAACCAAATCCTTTCTCCCCCGTGCTCAGAGCACGAAAGTTTTCTGCTGTCTTTGGAACTTTGCCTGCAAACAGCTTGAAGGAGACGCGGCCCAAGGGCTTGCCATCAGCAGCAATATCGAAGAACACGGTGGGGTTGACCACGGCTGGGCACGGGAAAAACCAAGGTGGCAGCGGCGTCTGCCAGGCCTACATTTACTATACTTCTCACATACCTATCCGTCTACCCATTTCACTGTGTATTATTAATCCATTTTGTGGGGGAGAATGCATGTTAGTAAATTGTGGACATCAGTAGACTTCCCTCTAAATATTTAAGCACATAGATCATTTACTAGCGTTCAGTATCTGTTTAGTCTTCTTTCAACATACACTTTACATGCAATGAGCTGCCCAAGTTTTAAGTGTGTAATTTTCAAGTTTTGCCAAATGCATATACATATACCAGTGTCATCAAAATTCCTATCAAGATGTAGAATATTTCTTCAAATATTTTTTTCTTCCCCATCCTTTCTATTTTCTTCTGGGGTCCAACTACATGTATGTAGGACCTTCTGGTATTGTTTTATGTATCTCTGAGACTTTTTTTTTCCAATCTTTTTTTTCCTCTCTGTTCTTAAGATTAGATCATACTGATCTATTTTCAAATTTATTGTCTCTTTACTTTGTTATCTCCATCCAGCTGTTAAGCCCATCCAGTGAATTTTATATTTTAGACATTATAATTTTTAGCTGTAGAATTTACATTTGGTTCTTTTCTATAGTTTCTGTCTTTGCTGTTGTGTTGTTTTTTTTTTATTGTGAGCCTATTTTCTTTTATGTCTTTGAGCTTTAACATCTTTCTTATTTTTTAAAAGATTTTATTTATTTATTTTTAGAGAGAGGGGAAGGGAGGGAGAAGGAGAGGAAGAGAAACGTTGGATTTTTGCCTCTTGTATGTGCACTGACAAGGGATTGAACCTGCAACCAAGGCGTGTACACTGGCCAGGAATTGAACTGGCTGCCTTGCAGTTTGCTGGATGATGCCCAGCCAACTGAGCCACACTGGTCAGGGCCGAGCTTTAACATCTTTGTCTACAAAATCTAACGTCTAGGTCATCTAGATTTGGAATCTGTGTATTGTCTTTTTTTTTTTTTTTTTTTTTTGAGAATGGGTCACATTCTTCTGTTTCTTTGTGTTTGGGGGTAACTTTGGATTATATTCTGGACGTTGGATATTGTAGAGGCTCTAGAATCTGTTTTATTACTCAGGGTGTTTTTCTCTTTTTTTCTTTTCATTTTTCAGCAGACAACTTAGGTTGGACTCTGCAACTTGGTAGTGGGAGCTCTTACCTCAGCTTAGTTTTATTATCCTTAGTTGGAGTTTCTCCCACACACGTGTGGTTCAGGGATCAGCTAGGTATTCAAGCAGACTTTATTCGCATAGTTTGGGGTTTTCTCCTTTCCAAGATTCCCACCTTCCTTTCTAGCCGCTGTGATCACTCTGAACTTTGCCTTCTGGTTCTTCAGGCCAAAAAGACTGGATTTTCTATTGCCGTTTTATCCGCCCTGCTCAGTGCCAACTTTGGCCTGCCCTTTAGGCTAAACGTTATTAAAAACAAATAACTAACTTTGTGCTATTCCCTTTTTTCCAAGAGTAAGATCCTGTCCAGGTTCTGCAGTTGTTCACTCCCCAGTGCCTTTCGGGGGGTTTTAGTCTGTTAGTTTTGTTTCGGTTTTGGTCTAGAGTTCAGTGTTGTTATCTATAGGAGAGTAGGGCCTGGTGGGAGTGATTTTTTTATGAAACAAAGGAGAAAAAAAATGAACCCTGGGCTTTGTTTTTCGTATGTCAGTAGTGTCTCTAAAAGATAGTGTTTAAAGCTCTGGCTCACAGGATACCGTGATTAATTGGTTTTTCTCTTTCTCTCATACTTGTTTAACAACACTGGGATTAAACCATATAAACAGTCTTGTAATTTGTTTTACTCACATCATATATTCTGAACATGTTTTCAAATTCATTGCTTTTTAATGGCTCCATAGGATTAAATTATATGGGTGAACCACAATTTATTTAATAAATGACCAATTTTTAGACATATAGGGTATTTTATTTTGTTTTATTTTTTTTATAATCAGAAAATAAGTGAAAAATACCTACCTGGCAATATGTGATAGTTTTTCATTGTATCACTAGAAAAATTACTTTTTGAGTTGAGTAAGTAGGAAATTTGTTTATACTTAAAGTATAGCCTCATTAAGGCTGTCTTGAAGCCATCTGATTTTTAGCATATTGGAGAGAGAATTACTTTATATAACTATAGTCAAGAAGGCATTCTTGGTACCTAATTACAGAAGTAAAATATGTGTAAGGTGTATGCGTACCTGCCTCTGTTAGTGATGGGCTGATAAGAAGATTTAGAAAGGAAGATAGAGCAGACCAATATCAATAATGACTAAAGTTATGTTTCAAATATTTGAAATTTGTTTTTGTTGCATTGCTTACTGGATGATGAGTCTGCTTATAGCTGTAGCTTTCTGCTTTGATAACGGACAGATTCTGCCATTAACATTTTACTGTGCTTGCTTTATCACCTATCTACCTATCCATCGGACAATGCATATTAATACTGAAATTTTAAATAGGGCTTTTGAGAGGTATAGACAATTATGTTACTTTACATTTAATTTTACACCACCGTGGTTCTCTAAATTGGGTGAATTTCCTCTTTAACTTAAAAAATGATATCACTGTGTGCTCTTTGAGGGGAAAATTGGAATTCTGTAGTGGCTTACTTATAAAGGAAAAATGAAATCAGAATATTCTTTTTTAGGTATAGCCTATAAAGGAAGTGAGTCATTTTTAGTGCTACTACTCTTGACAGTGCTATTCTTGTTACCATAAACAGACTTTCGTAGCAGTGCTCGTGCGCTGGATGATCCAAGTGTTAGCTTGCAGGGGCGCAGGCTCTGTATAAGGCCCTCTGGCAGCATCTTTTCCTGTGGCGCCCCTCCGACTATGGACTGTGCTTGGATTGTACTCGTAGTTTTTTGAACCAGAATGAGGATAAAATCTCACCTCATATTTTTTCTTATGTAAACTCAGTGTGAAACTACCTGTTTTATTGTTTAGCATAGTTCAAAAAATACTAGTTTATACTGTTGGTTCCATTTAAATGGTACAAAAAGAATTAAAACATGGTAATAATTTAAATATTTTAAAAAACTTTATATATTATTTCCAGTGTGTTTTGAAAAAAATTGATCTAAACATAAAACATGATCTTCTGGTCAAGATGGAGGTGTAGGTTACCTCCACAGCAAAAATTACAACTAGGCTACAAAACAAGTATCACCCAGATTCATCAGAAAGTTGAACTGTATGGAAGTCTGACAACCGAGGGTTTAAAGAAGCCACATTCTCCCGGCAGGTAGGAGGGGCAGAGAGGCGGACGGGCGTGGAGATGCGGAGCGGTGCAGAGAGGCAGCAGCACGGGTGGCTCCACATCCAAGTGTAGCAGATAAAAATAGGGAAACATACCACAGAAGCAAGTGATTCCAGCCCCAGACCAGACCGTCCAGCCCAGGGTTCCGATGCAAGGATGATAAATCCCCATAACTTCCGACTGTAAAAACCAGTGGGGGTTGGGGTGGCGGGAGGAACTGCAGGATTCTCAGGAAACTCCTCGCAAAGGGCCCCCAAAGGAGTCAGGACTTGACGCAGACCCACCCCCTCTGGGATTCAGCATTAGGGCAACAGCTGGAAGGGCACAAGTGACGAATGGGGAGAAAATGAAGTGACTGGGAACGGGGAGAGTGCCAGGAGACAGCCTTCTTCTGGGCAAATCTCCAGAGGCCTGGCTGCGGCATTGTCCCCTCTTCGAGCCCTCCCCTACACTGAGCCAAAAAGTGGTGAATGCATTGCCCTGCCCTGACAATTAGCTAAGCCTCTACCCCTTACAATTTACAGATGCCTTTTCTACAGTAGGCCATACTACTAAGGCAGCGAGTCAAAGTAACTCTACCTAATACACAGAAACAAACACAGGGAGGCTGCCAAATTGAGGAGACAAAGAAATACGGCCCAATTGAAAGAACAGGAGAAATCTCCAGAGAAAGAACTAAACGAAATGGAGATAAGAAACCTATCAGATGCAGAGTTCGAAACACTGGTTATCAGGATGCTCAAAGAACTCCCTGGGTACTGCAACCGCATAAAAAAGACCCAGGCAGAAATGAAGGTTGCATTAAGTGAAATAAAGAAAAATCTATAGGAGACCATCAGCAGGGGGGATGAAACTGAGAATCAAATCAATGATTTGGGACATAAGGAAGAAATAAGCCTTCAAAAGAACAGCAAAAAGAAAAAAGATTTTTTAAAAATGAGCATAGAAAATGAGCATAGAATTGCTGGGACATCTCCAAATGTACCAACATCCTAATCATAGGGGTGCCAGAAGGAGATAGGGAGAACAAGAAACTGAAAACTTATTTGAAAAAATAACAAAAGAAAACTTCCCTAATTTGGTGAAGGAAATAGACATACAAGTCCAGGAAGCACAGAGGGTCCCAAACAAGGTGGACCCAAAGAGGACCACACCAAGACACATCATAATTAAAATGTCAAAGGTTAAAGATAAAGAGAGAATCTTAAAAGCAGCAAGAGAAAAGCAGATAGTTACCTACAAAGGAGTTCCCATAAGACTGTTAACTGATTTCTCAAAAGAAACTTTGCAGGCTAGAAGGACTGGTAAGAAGTATTCAAAGTGATGAAAAGCAGGGACCTACAGCCAAGATTGCTCTACCCAGCAAAGTTATCATTTAGAATTCAAGAGCAGATAAAGTGCTTCCCAGACAACGTAAAACTAAAGGAGTTCATCATCACCAAAATATTCTTATATGAAATGTTAAAGGGAACTATATGAGAAAAAGAAGACCAAAACTATGAACATTAAAATGGCAACAAATTCACAACTATCAACAACTGAATGTAAAAAACAAACTAAGCAAACAAAGCAGGACAGGAACAGAACCATAGATATGGAGATCATTTGGAGGGTCATCAGCAGAGAGGGGGAAGGGGGAGAAGGAGGGGAAAGGAACACCATCAAGAAGCATAATTGCTAGGTACAAAATAGACAGGGGGATGTTAAGAACAGGATAGGAAAGGGAGTAGCCAAAGTACTTATGTGCATGACCCATGGACATGAACTAATTGCTGGAGGGGGAGATTGCTGGAAAGAACCTACGTGCATGACCTATAGACATGAAGTAAGGGAGGGATTACCAGATGGGGGGAGCAAAAGGGGAAAACTTGGGACAACCGTAATAGCATAATCAATAAAATATTAAAAAGTGAAAAAATAAATACAAAACATATAGGAAAAAAACAAAGAAATGTATAGCTCAGTGATCTATTTCAAAGCAAACCATGGTGTGCAGTCACCATCAGTCGAGGGAGCATAACCAGCAACCCCAGAGCTCCCATCACCCCCCTTGTCAGTCACTTTAGAGTAATCAGTGTCCCAGTTGTTACACTCGCGACTTTCTTGCTTTTCTCCCTCTCCCAGCTGAGTATATATTCCTAAATGTTATGGTTTAGTGTCATTTTTGTCTTCAAACCTTTATATAAATGAAATTACATGTTCAGTATTTGTTCTTTTGTTTATGGGTAGCTTCCATTCATTTTCATACCTGTACAGAGTGTATCTATTTATTGTATTCCATTTGGATGACATACGGTAGTGGTTCTGTAGAGCACACTGTAATGTGTTTTATGTAATAAGTATATGCTATAGTTCATCTGTCTTACTGTTGATGCGACACTTGAGTTTTTCCCAGTTTTTGGCCATTATGGATAATGATGCTTGTGAACATTCTTGTACTTGTCTCTTGGTGCAAAGATGCAAGCATTTCACTTGTGTGTATGTCCCAGAATGGGATTTTTGGGTCGTAGAGTATAAATATATTTAGCTTTAGTAGAAATTAGCAAAGTGTCTTCCACAATGATCATATCAGTTGGCATTTTCATCAGCAGAGTATGACAGTTCATATTGCTCTCCTTTTCTTGTCAGCTCTTGCTATTGTCAGGCTTTTTAATTTCAGTTGTGGTGAGCATGTAGTAGTGTCTTATTAGAGGTTTAATTTACATTTCTCTCATTGACCAATGAGATTGAGCATGTGGTCAGTTTTTGTAAATGTTCTGGTCTTCATGAAAAAGAGTACACTGCCAAAAAGAGACAGTCTTTTTACTTAGATGTTTTTTTGTGTAAGGAGAAAAATAAAAGGAAACTCGGGTCACAAAATACAGAATTGTCCACAACATTTTGGAATGTGTGCTTAGGGGCAAAGAAAAATGTCAGCAGTTCACCAGACTGCCTCAGGAGCAGGCTTCTTGGCTGATGCCTGGCAGGATACCCTACGCAGTTAGAGCTAGGTAACTGTGTGCTTATCTAGGTATCAAATGCATGTGAGTTAGTATTGAATATTATGCGAGACAAACATTTTTTTCCTTTGCCCTCAATGCTCCAACTACTGGCTAATAACTTCAAGAAAATGATGTCGTAAAACCTGAGAAACATTTGTTTTCAGGATCTGCCAGAGCATCTTTTGGAGATCGAAAGGCAGAACTTTCTGGCTCATTCCATCCTGGACCCAGTTATGACGTCTATAACCCGTTCTATGTGAATCAGCGCGTTTCACCAGATTTGAGCCGGCGCTTTCCTCCTTGTTTAGAAGCGACAAGATTATATGGATCAGGTTTGAATTTTTTTTAATCTTTTTCCTCTTTGTGTGTGTGTGTGTGTTTTCAGAGTTCAGCTTTTTATTGAACGTGTACAAAAGAGGTTTAGTCAAAAAGACCAAAGCCTTTCAGGCTCCTCAGATTCTTCTTTCTTCGTTTCCACTTCTCACCAAGGGCAGCAGTGGCGGCTCTTTGTGCTTCTCTTTTAGCAAATGTATAAGTCAAATGAAATCTAAGGCCCTGAAAGAGTTGAGTCTTACTATGGAAAACTACTTACAAATTAAAAAAAAGACAGGCTTCAGAGGTGATGTGATAAACAACATGACTTCTTTGTGGTATTCTATCTAATATAAAAATGGAAAGATTAATAAGTTATGTGTGTGAGTGAGTTCTAAATCCATTTTATTTATCCTTTCTTGGAAGAAGTTTTATTTACAGATTACTTTGGATATATTTTATATATCATTTATCCATTCACCAATTCCACAACAGATAACTAGCCTTTTCGTTTTCTGTGCTCTATTCTGTGAAAATGATAAATTTAGAAACTCATGATATGATTAGAAATGTAAACAGAGAAAATAGAAAACACCTAAATGATTTTAGAACAGAAATTTCTTGGTTTCATATTTGAAACTGCATCGGTTATAGTCTATCTTGTGTATATCTGATTCACAAAATTCTCATTGTTCTTTAGGTCTGTATGTATGTATGTCTATACATATATATGTTGCTATGTATGTATAGACATACATATATTGCTGCCTCAGCCCTGAATTCAGGATGAGGTACTAAAAATAAAGATTTATTTAAATATGTGCAGAGTTCCATTCCTTAAGGATCTTACAGTTTAGGAGGGAAACTAGAAATACAGGATCACATAGGATTTGGTAGTGATTTATTAAAAATAAGTGCTCATTAAATAGTTGAATTGCATTTAGTACAGAGGACTTACTTCTTCTTAGATTATTCTTCTGTTTCTTCTTCTTTACTGTAAAAATAAGTAATTTATTCATGTCCCTTTGTAGCTTGTGACTTAAGGACCAACAAACTCCCTGGTTCTTCCGGGCTAAGCAAGTCCATGTTCGATCTTACAAGCTCATCGCAGAAGTTCACCCAGGTATATCATGTATATCAATTTAATTATATCTGGTCATTTATTTTCAAACTGAAAACTCAGAAACCTATGAATTTCATTAGGAACAACATGTTTTACATCTTTTGGAGATGTGTCTATTTTAATATCTCTTCAGATAACACTTGACATTTCCCATGGGCATTACTTTAGGAGGCTTTCAACAGAATACAAAAAGGCAGTAGTTTTTATTTTGATTTTTTAGGAATCTTACATCTTTCAGTTGGTACACACTCAGACACTAGGAATTTAAAATGGTATATAATTAAAAGTGCTTATTGATTTCACTTTCTTTAATGAACATAACTGTAGTTAATAAAAATTAGTGTTTCTATTGAGATGTAGAAGTTTAATTATTCACAGTGTTAATGTTAACCCTGTCCTATTTCTCAAAATGAATTGAGAATTTTTAATATTTAAAAGTATTTCTTTTTATAATGTAAGCAAACTGTTATTATTTAAAAAATAGAAAGTAGACCTCAGCAAAAGTAAAAAGACAACCCTCCTGTATTCCTAAAACCGAGAGTAAAAGCACTGTGCAAATATTATCTATATATACTTGTAGACTTTTTTTCAAGTGAATATATAGACATATACTTTATTAATATGGGAATATATTCTAAATAATCCTTAACAATCCCAATTGAGTTATTTTTGCAGACTTAATTCTTTATAGCACCAGTTCTTTACCATGCATTGGAACTGTGTGAAGAGCTTGTTAAAATACAGGATGCCAGACCCCGCCCCCTGAACTTTTGAGTTAGTAGCTCTGCAGTGGGGCCTGACTTTGTGTTTCTAGTAGTTACCCAGGTGATGCTGGTACTCCTGGTCTAGAGAAACCATGCTTTAGGAACTTCTGTTTTACAGGTTTTTAGGTAGCAGGGCACTTCTGAATACATTCTGATTTTCATTAGTACTTTTAAATATGAAACATAAGCCATAATCTCTTCATCCTTATTATAAAACCAAACCAAACAACAAAGGCTTTTCATAGATTATATAGTAAGATATTTAAGATTTTCCTGATAACACACACGTCTCTTTTCTTCTTTTTTATCTAAAAGTGGAAAATTAAAAAAAATTATTATATATTGCTTTGTCATTCCACTTATGGATGCATTCATTTGTTGCTTCTTATATGTGCCCTGACTGGGGATTGAACCTGCAACCTTGGCATATTGGGATGACACTCTAACCAACTGAGTTCCCCGGCCAGGGCAAAAATGGGAAATTTTTATCAGTAGCCGTCAAAATGGTTAGCATGCAGTTTGGTAGTAGGGTAGGTATTATTTCAGAATCCTCAAGGTTGGATACACAGTTCCTGACTAAAGAAGAATTTTATTTGTAGAGACATGATTCACTGTCCAGTGTGCCCAGTAGCTCTTCGTCGAGGAAGAATTCTCAGGGGAGTAACAGAAGCTTGGGTAAGGAATCAAGTGTCCTGTTTTTATATTCTTAAGGGAATTATTTTTACCCAGTAGTAATTTGAAAGTATATATGATAAAGTGAAAGAAATTCTAGATCATTATGTCTATGTTGGCAGTGTTATCTGCTTACGAATATACACATCAGATGGTCCTCTTTTTAGTGGTCAGGCATGAATGTGTCTTTTTAAAAAGTGAAGCAGTTAAATATCTTTTGTTGGTTGTTTTAAAGTATATTAGTGAAGGAACTTCCTGAAGCATTCAGTATGAAGGCCCTATCAACGTTATTTGGTAAGGTTTTTCTTAGTTCAAACTTAAACTTCTCAGGTTATAATTGGGTTAACTTTTTAAGCCATGCATTACTTTTTATAGCGTATCTTCCCTCCAGCAGGTCAGTGAAACACCAGAGTGTGATATTTGTCTTATTAAATTGTCAACTTTAAAGAATAATTGTAGCACTTTTCAGCTTTACCCTTAAAATCAGATTGTATCAAAACTTAATTGGGTTAGAAGGATTGTATAGCATTTCAAACATCTTTGTCCTTTTACAATTCAGATACTATCACTCTATCAGGAGACGAAGGAGACTGTGGGAGATTGAACGTGAAGGTGTTTTACAATTCTTCCGCAGAGCAGATCTGGATCACAGTGTTGCAGGTAAATCCTTAGAGTGAACACCAATATTTCTTACAAAATTCAGTATTTAGACATGACATAAGCGTATACTGCTGCTGTCTTCTGGGGAACGGGTCATTCCCTTCTTTGGAATTTAGGGTTCTATAGTATTTTGTAGAAAACAGTACTTAATAAAGAATCTAAAGAAAATAAATTAGTAGGTATGATCAAAGTGTTTGATTTTTTTCACCTCAAGAAGGAAATGGATGTGATATCTAGAACATTAAATGTCCAGTATTTTAATGTGGATGAAACAGGAGGTCTCAGTAGGCTAAAGTTTACTTTTACAGTTTGTATCTAAAGTCATTAACTCAAGAAATGCATAATATATTTGTATTTTCAGTATTTTTGTATTTGTAAGATTCAAGCTGTATTTAAAATCTTTTTTAGTGCAAAGATTTAAGTTGGCCCTCCAGCTGTGGCGATACTCCTGCCGTTTCTGTAAAAGGAGTACTGACTTTGCCCAAACCAGTGCATTTCAGATCTTCAGCCAAGGAAGCCTCCAGCGTAAGTGGCTCTCTGCGTTTGAATTCTCTTGATGTTTTTCTCGTATTTGTCACTTTAACCCATGTGAAGAATTGGAATAAGAAAGTGTTTTATTTTGGGGAAAACTATAGGTTATGTACCCCTTGCTTTTTAAGGACAATTTTGAGCCTGAAAAGTATTTACTATTTCTCTGTCCAATAATAAAGTGCATTTAAAAAGAAAATTTTAATCACTAAAGTATATAGAAGATAAACAATCGATAAGAAAACTCTTTATTTTTCTCTTATGAGAGGAAAATAAATGTCTCTTATTTTTATCCTCTTTCTCCCCATCCCATATGGCTTTGAGAAATAATTGCATGATTGTAATTAATTACTTTTAAATACTTCTCATTATTATAATTAGGAGATTTATGATCCTGATTTGGTTTTGTAGGCTCTAGATTTCACATTAACTTAAATATATATTTTTGTCTTCTGATATGGGTTGAAAGTGTAGTGTTTCTCCATGCAAATGAAAGGTATTTTCTACAAAAATATATCATTTAAAATTAAGGTAATTCAAATGATTAATAAATGTGGAATTACATATTGTTTTTATTGTCAATCTTCCTATCTTCCTTTTTTTTAAAATTAAAATCAGATGAAATTTTTTAAGTACTGTAGTAAATAAAGCATTCTGAAAATTATTTTAATGCTAATACATATCAAAACCTTAAACTGTTAGTATTTATACTTTTTAAATATAGTTATTCTACTATATAGTTAAATATTTTAATCTGTTCCATGCAAATAATTATATATAAAAGTATATAAAAAAATATATATATACAGAGTAGGCAAAAGTAGGTGTATAGTTTTTTGTATGAAAAAAGACATGCAGGTTATGATTGTTACAAAAGCTTTGTTGACTCAGGAGAATGCCAGAGCGGCACAGCGCAGTTAGGTGCGACCTTGTCCGCGCTCAGATTGCCAGCCCCCATTGTTTATGCCTTCCGTAGCCTGCCTGCGGTTCTCAAGGATACTTCGGCACAGAGTTCTTCATTGTCATCAGTTTGTTGACATGCTTCTCCTTTGTTACCTAAAAGATAAATCATAAGGATATGAAATAAAAAGAAATAACAAAAATGCAAATAAATAATATAATTATACATAAATAATAATATAAAAGTAAACTCTATGTTTTGCATACTCACAACTGTAAACCTACTTTTTCCCATCCCTGTCTATTACGTGAGGGGGTGATGTGTGTGTAGCGGGGGCGGGCGGGGGGGAGTCTGTCCAGAAAGTATCCAGCTGTGCAATGTGAAAATGGGAAAGACATTTATTGAAGAAGATACAAGATAGAAGAAACATTGTACGTAGGGTAATGATGCATCAGTCCCCTTCCCAGTAGGCACTGTGGGACCTCACAGAGTTCTCCCAATTGCCATCAGCTGCTCCATCGTATTTTCCTGAATCTCATTGATGGTCTGAAATCTCTTCCCTTTCAAAGGTGATTTTAGTCTTGGGAAAAGCCAGAAGTTGCAGGGCACCAAATTTGAGCTATTGGGAGGCTGAGTCACCTGGGTGATTTGATGTTTCACCAAAAAACTCTTCATGACATGGGATGCATCAGTGGAGACGTTGTCATGATGAAGCTGCCAGTCACCAGTTACCCAGAGCTGCGGCCTTTTGAGTCATCTGAATGGTTTCCACAGAGGAATGTTCAAGCTTAATGCAAAATTGGATGTAGACTTGATGCCGCACTCACTGTCATTTGGAGTGCAATGGCCACACAGCACACATGCTTACTCAAAGGCGTCTCCCACCCCCCACCAGCTGCTACAGTGAAGTCATCATTGTTCACACGAGTGCATTCCGAGCCACTCTCCTTGGCTGCCAGGTTACATTGACGTCCTGCAAACCATTCTTGTTATATTAACAATGGCTGGGCTTTTTTCCAAACAGACCTCATGTATATAGTATTCTTGACAATTTGTTCATAGTAGGAAAGTTGGACAACATCTAAATGTCTCCTGTAGGGGAACAATTGCGAAAACCCATGGAATACCATGGGTATCAGTTTCCTAGCGTTTTTGTAACTAAGTACCGCAGACTAGACTTAGAACAACAGAAATGGATCTCTCACATCTTTTGGAGGAAGCCTGGAATTAGGATTTCAGCAGCATTGGTTGAAGGATCCTCCTTTGCTGAAGGAGGATCTGCTTCGCACCTCTCTGCTAGCTTCTGGCGGTGGCCAGCGACCCTCGGCGTCCCTTGGCTTCACCCTCATCTCGGCCTCCCTCCTCACAGGACGTTCTCCCGGTCTCTGTGTGTCTTCACAAGGCCGTTTTCTCTACTCCAGCAGGCCCTCGTCTTAACCTCACTAATTACATCTTCAGTGACCCTATTTCCAAATAAGGTCACATTCCAAGTTCCTCGGGGTTAGGACATCAACGTTTTTAGGCCGGGGCGGGGGGGGGATTCAGTGTATTTTTTGGAGGGGTGACGCAATTGAATCCGTAACACCATGTGACAGAATACTGGAAAGCATTTAAAAAATGTATAGAAAGTGTTTTCAAGGATGTGGGAAAATGTTCTTAATAAGCGAGAAGACAAATCAAAATTGATGTCTATATAGTAGGATATCACATTATGAAAACATGCAGTATAGAAAATCTAAATGGAAATAAGTGCTATCTCTGGTTGTAATGCTGACACTTAGTTAACAATTTCATATGTTGATTTTTCAAAGAAAACTAAGTTAACTTGGGAAAGGTTGGGGGGAAAAGAAAGCGTAAGTCCTTGGTGACTCTCAGAAGCACGGTTCTGACTGCACAGAGATAAAAAGCCACAGTGAAAGAGAACATTCAGGCGCAGCGTCTAAGCTCTGGATATTAGTTGCCCGCTATCTTGCTTTTCCAAAAGGCAGAAAAAGAAAGAAAGAAAAAATAGCTTTTCAAAAGGATCTAGTAAAGATGGAAAGAAGGGTGTGTGTAGCAAAGAATAGTCTAGTGTCAAGAAGATCTTAGCCCGTGGTAAACCAGGGTTTAAAAATATTAAAAGTAACAAAAAGAACATCTGAAAATATTTCGAGCATGGAAAACATGGACTTCCCTTGTGGTTTGGATGCCTATGTGAGAAGGTGGAACTTTATACTCATGTTTTCCTTTGTTTTCTCTCTCAAGGAGATTGGTGGAGAAATTGAGGCCCAAGATAGATGGGAAGAGCATTAGACAAAGAATCACTCCTTTCAAGAAATAACTCAAGTCTTGTAACCTGAACAAATAGATTTGGAGTACTGAGAGAGCTCGCCTGAGATTCCTAAATCACTCCTATTTACTGGTGAAGAATTGTAAATAGCAGAAAAGATGCCCCAGAACCAAAAATGGAAAATAGCCTAATTTTCAGAAAGGGGAAAAGCTATATATACTTGGTGTTGATATTGACCTGAATTCCTGATTAACTAATTAATAGGATGATTTGTGAAATTAAGAAAGGCAATACCAGGATAAATTCTGGAAAAGCAAGCTAAGGCCATTCTCATTCATTTACATTAAAAATTTATTATTATTGTAAAAAATCAGAGCCACCTTTCCTGGATTATAAAATGTCATTCTTATTTATCTCGTATTGGCATACCATTCTTTTTTCAGTCCTTTAATTTATGTATTTTGTATTTTCTTTTTTTTTTAGACTATTGAATTTATGGAAACTTTTGTATTTGCTATTAAACTCCAAAGTCTGCAAACTGCAAGGCTTGTGTTTAAGATTCAAACCCAGACCCCCAGGAAAAAAACCATTGGGGAGTGCTCGCTGTCACTCAGGGCTCTCAGCACACAGGAAGTCGATTACTCTTTGGATATAATGCCACCTTCAAAGATGTCTGTAAGTAATAGTAGTCTGTAAATAACCCTGGACTATGGATAATTTTAAATTATTAATTTTTTATAGTTTCTTTTAGTAGATGATAACTTAGGAAAAGCAGGAAAGAATCATGAACTGTAAACGTCACCAGAAACTACCTTCCAATAGATTAAGAAAGTTGTTTTTAATCATGAATCAGCCATATATCTGTCCATGAATTGGGTATAAAAGAAGTCCTTTCCTCTGGAATGTAAATAATGTTTATCATCACCCAAGGACAGCTTGTTGATTTTAGAGAGAGGGGAAGAGAAGGAGAGGGAGCGGGAAAGAAGCATCGGTATGAGAGAGAAACATTGATTGGTTTGCCTCTCATATGTGCCCCAAGTGGGGAACAAAGCACAGCCTGGGTATTGTCCTGACCAGGAATGGAACCCGCAGCCTTTCGGGTCACCGGTTCACCACACGATGCTGCAGCCCGCTGAGCCGCGCCAGCCCGGGCGCAGCCGGTAGCTTTTGTAAAGACCTTCATTAGCCACAGTGTTGATTTATTTTTGAGACCTGGTGTTTTGCTTGTCTCAGCGAGCCACCTGAACATTTAAATTGTTTAGAAATTCCTGATAACTTAATTATATAGTTTCTACGTAGGGATAATGTTTATAGAAATCAGCCATAAGCTTTTATAAGGTCAAAGCTTATGGGATTTTAAATTTACATAGGATTTATATTTTACCTACTTTTCAAAAATATTTAAGATGACTTGAAGTGGCCCTGAACCCTGGACACACATTAGAATCACCAAGGGAACTGTAAAAAAAAAGCCCACTCCTCAACCAACTAAATCAGAGTATTTGGGGGGCATAGGACCAGAGGCGTCCGTAAGTTTCAAAAGCTCTGCAGGTGATTCTAACATGTAGCCTGGCTTGAGAATCACTGCATTTGGTGGAAAGTAAGTATTAAAAACTTTTTAAAAATGGATTACTGTAATTGATCGAGAAGAGTTGAAATTTCTTGATTTCTCTATTCCTTGTCCATTGTTTTCTGCCTCCGTCCCCCAGTGTTTTTTTATAGTGTTTATTGCAACTCAGAATTATGCAAGTTAACTTGTTTTAAACAAAACAAGGCCTGAGCTTTCATCTTTCGTATTTTGCTGGGCTCTTAACAAGGTGAGGAGGGCCTGTCATGTTCTCGCATTGAATGTTTGTGTGTAGATCGATAGAAAGAATAAATGACGAGTGAAAATGTGCCAGTTAGGTTATTTTCTGTTAAAATATAGCAAATTTGTTTTATAGCTGGGAGCAGTTTGTCACTGGCATCTTTGAAACTAGCTTAGTAGATAATAATCTGCAAACATCCTTTACAGAAGGCACAAGTATTTAAATGGAGAATTCATCTATTAGAACGGAAATTCATCGCTCTAGACTTTATATAGGGCACTTTAACCTCAGCAGTTGATTTTATGCTTTTAAGTGAATCACTTTGCACTGTCTCTTCTTGATTTCTTACGGCATAACCAATTTTAAAACTCAGTATCATGTTTTAAGAGAATGCCCAAGATTCAGTCAATGGAATGTACCTAGAAAAGTTCTTTTTTAGTAAGACAAGAGCCAGTTATTGGGACTGCCAGACGATTATCAAATATAAATGACTCTCCATAAAGTGTCACTTAGCTGGGCTGTGGCCTTTCCTCAACCGGGATTAGCAAAGACTTTTGTGTCTGCCTGTGCTGAGCCCTATGCGATCTCTTAACATTATGTTCTCGCTTTGTCCCCATACTTACTCTTTTCAACACATGAAGAGTAATGTTTGTGTGTTTGGACAACTTTATGTTTCTCTTTTATTTTTCACTCCAAGGACTTTGGAATCCATGTAAGCAGGCTGGCTTGTGTTCCCTTTCACAGACATATTACCAGCTTTCCTCTGCTGTTAGTCAGCAGTACTGAGCAGCACATTTTTACTTTCCCCCACCTTTTCTATGTCTCTTTCTTTTTATTGTTTGCCTCAGGTTTTCCTTGACCTTTTCCTTATTATTTACTGCCTCATAATTTTCACTAGGTTCCTTCTTGCCAGCTCTCTTCTTTGGCTTGCTCGCATTCAGCATGGTAATTCAGCTCCCAATCCACAAATCTGTCCATTGTCTGTGGTCTCTGATTTTGGTAGCACCTACTCTGGTTCCTAAATTTAGAAAAAATAATGATGATTCTCAGTTATTACGTTTTCAAATAATATTTCCTATGTTCTCAAAAAATAATTCAAATGATTACATTTAAGTGTTTTGAAAGTTTGCTTGCTCTTTTAGTGTTTATTGCACTGACATTTGCCCTAGTAAAACTGCTTACGCATTAAGTTTGTTTTTAATTTGAATTGTCTTTTGGTCTCCCTGATTTTGAAGAATCCGTATGTAGCTGTATGCCAGTAAAAAGCAGTGATCTCAGAATTTGTAATCTAAGCTGTTTATTTTTGAATTTTTGAAATATCTCAAAACTTTATTCTTAATTACTGAATGATGCTTTTTGGATATGCAGGTTTGCCATGCAGAACTTGAACTGGGGACTTGTTTCCAAGCGGTAAATAGCAGGATTCAGTTGCAGATTCTCGAGGCACAGTACCTTCCAAGCTCATCAACACCTCTGACTTTGAGTAAGTACATCAGTGGTTCAAAGTGAAATCTAAAGAAAATATTAGTAAAAGATAGTTTTTTCTACACTTATGGAGATTAAAATTTTAATAACTTTTATTATTCAACTCAAGTACTTATCTTTTAACTTAAAATCACTTCATTGGACTTCACATTTTAGCCATGGTGTCTGCCCGAATCCACTGGTCTGTTGATTCTTCTCCAGTCGTGATGTCTCTGCATTTGAGGCTGTTCCTTATTCGGCTCACTGGTAGCTGTAGGTTGAGTGGCCACAGAGCTATCAGACATGTTTTATCAGCCTCATAAGTTATCCTGAGCCCGTTGCTGGATACTCTGCTAACAAGAAACTTAATTTCAAAAAATCAAATATCAAACCCAACCCTTGAAAGGCTTCCCCCCCGCCCCCGCTCCTAGCGCTTTGGGCACAGCCAGGGGTTCTGATGATTTGGCTGCGCAGGCCTGGGTCACATGGCCGCCCCTAGAGCTGGAGGTCGAGGTCAGCTCTGCCTGCGGGGCCGAGGGTGTGGTAAGAGCGCTCCTGTCAGAAGGGGATCTTTGGAGCTGACAGAAGTAATGGACGTCCAGTATCACTAATGAGACCGCAAATAAATACAACTCAGCATTCAATTCACAGAGCTAGGCAGGCAGCCAACACGAAGGAAAGAAGTAAGGAAATAAAGCCAGAATTGAAGTTGATAAGTATTGAGGCAACAACAAAGGACAATAAGTAAAACTGAAAGTTTTTTCTTTGAAAAGATCATTAAAATAGACAAACTAAACCTATGATAGGCCGGATCAAGCAAAAAATAAAGAGAACATGAACAAGGATGAGGAAAAAAATTTTCAAATTCAGAAGATTTAATAATAAAGAAGAAAATGCCATTTATAGCCACCAATGCATTTGAAATCTATTTAAAATAAATGATTTTTTTATGGGAAATTGTTCAAGCTCACTAGAGAAGAGTGAAAACCTCAATAAAACAAAATCTATATAAAAGTAGTTAACTTCTAATAAAAGCACAAGGCCAAGATGATTTTACTGGCAGATTCTACCAACCTTAAGGAACATGTAATTCCTATATTATATAAGCTGTTCCAAAGCGTGAAGAAAGATGGAAAAAGTTATTTTATGGGGTTAGCATATTCTTTATGTCAAAACAGAAAGGATAGTAAATACATGCAAAAATACCTATAGACTACCGTCCCTTAGGTAGACAGATGGAAAAATCATAAAAAATAAGCAAAAAAAGTCCAACTTGGCATTAAAACAGTAAATTACCAGGACTACAAAATGTTAATTCTAGGAAACAGGAACAACAGTAGAAATCTACGGATGTAATTTATTACATTAACCGGTGTCTTTCTTAAATCAGAACTGCTAGTCAGGATGACCAGTGACCTCTGTTTTATGACCCTAACGGCCAGTCTCGGTCCTCACTTTGCGGCTCCCCGCTTTCTTGCCGCCCCAGCAGCCTCAGCCCCACCCGGTGGCTACCCCGTTAGTCAGACTGCACTTCTGCCTCACCTGCGGGCACCGTGTGCTGGTCGTGGGCTGGGGAGTCCGCTTAGGTGAAAGCCATATAAACCCAAGTTTCACCCCGTGCAGTTCCCATCTTCCAAGAGCCAACTTTCCTCCAATTTCTTTTCTGTTTTTGGTCAGTCTGTAGTGTCTGAAGTAACTATTCTTTATATTTTCCCCAGAGTTTATTTTTGGTATCTATGGAAACATTAGTTTGTAGAAGCTCTTCTACCATTACTAGAAGCTCTACATCTCAAATTTATTTAAAGAGTAGATTTTCTCAAGTGAGCCTATGTTTAACTTGTGGAGTCTCGAGCACAGAATTCACCTATATGAAACTGTGGAATAAGTCCCTCCAGCTGTCCAGAAAAGTTGGTGCCTCTCTTTTGTGTGACCCTTTACAATGTACACACCTTGCTGCTCATTGTTTTCTATGCCTACAGCCCCAGTCTCCAGTGGCATTCATGTTGGAGGAAGATTAAATTCATCTGAGGTTACAGTAGTCAATTATAAAGTGTGATAAAAATTAGAAAGTTTACTAACGGTGTTTTCTGTTATGGCAGTGGCTCATCAGATCTTGAAAAGTGGCTTCTTTTTATTTTTACAACAAACATATAGATACATATCTGTATATGAGGCTTTAGAGAATATTTTATGTATCAGCATTTCTTATTTTTTAGGTTTTTTTGTGAAGGTGGCAATGTTTAGCTCAGGAGAGCTGATTTACAAGAAGAAGACACGCTTACTGAAGGCTTCCAATGGAAGAGTCAAGTGGGGGGAGACTATGATTTTTCCACTTGTACAGAATGAAAAAGAAATTGCTTTTCTCATTAAGCTTTATAGTCGAAGCTCTGTAAGAAGAAGACACTTTGTGGGCCAGGTTAGTAGGGAGTTTTTATCTTGAGTTCTTTTCTCGCACTTTTCTGCATTCGCATTTAAACAGCTGGTTAACAAAAGGAATGTAGGATAAAATTGAAGTCTGATGAAGTACAAGTCTTCAGCATCGTAAGTTAAAATTCAGTGTTGCCACAAAAATCTTTTCAGACTTTTCTGCTTAAATACAAATACATGGAATTTCTGAGCAATTGGGCTTATCCTAAAATACGTTTTTTTCCAGATAAAATTTGCATTTTTACTGAGGGAAAGTAAATCTTTTTTTGTGCTTTTTAACTTTAAAAATGGTGAGAACAATCAGCTTTTTAGGTCCTTATGAAGGAGGGACTGCTGAGCGTTCCAGTCGCGTTTCCTAAGGCTTCAGATACCCAAGATTACATTATTCTTTTTTTGTTCAATTTAAGGTTTAACTCTGTCTACTATTAACTGAATTATGTTAGATTTGAACTCATAAAAAAACATCATTTTTATAGTAGTTGCACTATTATTTAGATAGGCAATATGGGTGTCTGGATAAAAATCTATTTTAAAATTCTTAGTAGTCTGTATAAGACAACATAGTAACATTTGCCTACTTGCCAGGCCTGTAGGAACTTGTCTCCTTTTGTCCTTCCATTCTTTACTCTGAATGGATTAGTGGGAGCAATCTCTTGAGTTTTATCTTAAGTACAGTTGTTTGACTCAGATTTAAATCTCAAAATCTACATTATTGGCAAGGTGTGACTAGCAGTCTATGTGAAATTTTAAAAATGATATGTGAATTTTCAAAGATTAATATTAACTCTTTGACTTCATATATTTTACGTACAATATTTGTAAAAGACATTATAGTTTTGTTTTTCATTTTTTCTTATTCAAAAAATTTAAACTCAACAGTATACTTTTCAAAGCTATAAGGCCCACGAAGTGAATTTTGTTAAAGTTTTCCTGTTCCAAGCTTCCACTATCATGTTTGAATGGAATAGGTTTACTTCATGGATGACTTTCAGGATAACTTTTTTGGTAATTCTACCTCTTTGGTTAATATAAAGTTAAGAATAATAATTGTGGCAAGGTCCTTGCTGGTCATCTGTTCCCTGTAGCTTGTCTGGAAGCTTCTCCAGGAGCCAGCACGGCGGAGTGGCCAAGTGTGGAACCAAGGTCTCCCACTCCTGCGTCAACCAAGCACTCTGTTACCAGTTTTTATGTTGGGGTGTGTAAGGTTTTATGTGAAAGAAAAGTTCTTCAGACCATGAGATGAAGGGGAAATGTTTAAAAACCAGTGAGTGAACTGCTCAAATTTTTTTATTTAAAAGAATTAGAAACAGTCTCAGAGAAGTTAATTTCAAAGCGGCAGCACTGGTTAGTGTTAGAGCTGAGATGGGAATTCAGGGTTTTTGAGTTTTTATCCCCATTACCCCCTTAACATGTAACCATTGTGCAATCTTACCTTTGCATAATGCTTTACAGTTTTCCCAAGTTCCTTCACATCTCTTGTCTAAAGTTACATAGGTGATGAGCACCACAATATTATTTACAGTGGGTAGGGAATGACTACTTATTAGATTTCAATTAAAATTACAGTTTTACATACTGTACAAAATGCATAAAATTGCATAAATTAGATTTCTCACCAATCTAAGTTAAATCAAGATTAGTCTGAGCCAATCTTCACAAAAATGGTTTTGAGTGATTGGGATCAATTTTAAGTTGAGTTCCTAGATTTCTTCAATAAGAAAGGATACTAATTGTTTTGGGAGGAATGATTATATAATTATCTCACATTGAATTTTTAAATTGAATTGGATCATATAAAATCGTCCTCAGGCTAACTAAATAGGTTAAATGTTTCTTATGCATTTTTAAAAATTATATTTTATTGATTTTGCTATTACAGTTGTCCTGATTTTCCTCCCTGTGCCCCCCTCCACCCAGCGGCCCCCACTTTCTCAGGCAGTTTCCCTACCACCATTCATGTCCATGGGCCATGCGTATAAGTTCTTGGTCTGCTCCATCCCCTACACTGTACTTTACATCCCTATGGCTATTCTGTGACTACCTATTTGTACTTCTTAATCCCCTCACCTCCTCACCCATTTCCCCACACCCCTCTCCCATTTGGCGACCATCAAAATGTCCTCTATATCCATGATTCTGTCTCTGTTCTTCTTCTTTGCCTAGTTTGCTTTTTAGATTCAATTGTTGATAGCTTTATATTTTTTGCGATTTTATTGTTCATAGTTTTGATCCTCTTTTTCTTCAATAAGCCCCTTTAACATTTCAAGTAATAATGGTTTGATGATGATGAACTCCTTTGGTTTTTTCTTGTCTGGGAAGCTCTTTATCTCCCCTTCGATCCTAAATAATATCTTTGCTGGGTAGAGTAATCTTGCCTGTAAGTCCCCACTTTTCATGACTGAACTGCTCTTCTCTTGCTGCTTTTAAGAGTCTCTCTCTATCTTTAACATATGGCTTTTTAATTATGATGTGTCTTGGAGTGGGCCTGTTTGCATCCATCTTGTTTGGGATCCCTGTGCTTCCTGGACTTGTATGTCTATTTCTGTCACCAATTTAAGGACGTTTTCTTTCACTGTTTTTTCAAATAGATTTCCAATTTCTTGCACTGTCTCTTGTCCTTCTGGCACCCCTGTGATGCAAATGTTGGAATGCTGGAAGTTGTCTGAGAGGCTGCTTACACTGTCCTAATTTTTTTTTTATTTTTTCTTTTTGTTGTTCTGATTGGTTGTTTTTTGCTTCCTTATGTTACAAATCATTGATTTGATTCTCAGCTTCATCCACCATACTGTTGTTTCCCTGTAAATTGTTCTTTTTTCAATTAGTGTACCCTTCATTTCTGCCTGGGTCTTTTTTACGCTGCTGAGGTCCTCACTAATTTCCTTGAGCATCTTTATAACCAGTGTTTTGGACTCTGCATCTGATAGGTTGCTTATCTCCATTTTGTTTAGTTCTTTTTCTGCAGTTTGGATCTGTTCTTTTATGTGGGCCATGTTTGTCTCCTCGTTTTGGCAGCCTCCCTGTGTTTGTTTCTATGTATTAGGTAGAGCTGCTTTGACTCCGTGTCTTGGTGGTGTTGCCTAATGTGGTAGGTGTTCTGTAGGGTCCAGTGGCACAGCCTCCACTCTCACCCAAGCTGGGTACTCGAGGTGCGCCCTTTGTGTGGGTTGAGTACACCCTCCTCTTGTAGTTGAGCCTTGGTTGCTGTGGGCAGGTCAATGGGAGGGATTTACCCAGGCCAGTTGGGAGCAGGGATTGGCTGTGACCACTTACCATGTCCCTCTGTCCTCCACGGAGGATCAGCTGTACAGGGGCAGGGTGGTGGTGCTCCACCTTGGTCTGTAGCTGTCCACTGGGTGCACTGGGTGCAGCGCCCACTTGTGCTTTTTGCCCAGGGCCACCCTGCCTGAGATATGAAGCAATGTAAGATGGTTGCTACTTGCGCTGGGCTTGGAGATTCCCAGGCAAAGCCAAGCTGTGGATCTAGGTTGGCTGCCTTTAGTGCCAGGCCTGGGACTCCCTGAGGCCAGCTGTTGCTTGTTTTAGAGGATTTAGGAAGGTGTGCAGCATGCGCCAAGACCAGCCATTCATGTGGAAAAGCAGCTTGGGTGGGCCCGTAAGTTGGGTGGGGTGGAGTCACTGGGGAATCTCCAAGGTGGGTCAGACAGTGCAGGCCAGGTTGATGGAGTCTCAGACACAGCAGCAGCTTGTTAGCTCTGTGAGGGGAGTGTTTAGTAAAGGGACAATGGCCTCTGCTCGCCTTGATGCCGGACACTTCAGTTCCCCCACTGTGGCACTGGTGCCTTTCAAGTTGCTACCACAGTGCCAGAGCTCAGAGGGACTGAGTCCAGTAGACGAGTCCCTGGGTGGGTTCTTTAAAGGGAACTGCTTGGGGCTTCAGAAGTTTCTTCCATTGACTCAATCGCCACAGGTTTATGCAACCAGAGCTTGTGGGGGCTTATCTTCCTGGCACTGGAACCCTTGGTGGGGGTCCTGGTATGGGTCTGGGACTCCTTGCTCCTGAGGTGTCCCTCCTGAATTTTTATCCACCACGCGTGGGTGAGGGACCAGCCCGCTCTGCGTCTGCGCCCCTCCTACGGTCTGGATGGATGTGGTTTCATTACTTCCGTAGTTGTTAGACTTTCATTCAACTCAATTTCTGATGGTTCTGAGTGATAGTGGTTCTGCATTTTAGTTGTAATTTTGATGTGGTTGTGTGAAGAGATGAGCCATGTCCGCCTACCCTGCCATCTTCAATAGGCTAAATGTTTTCACATTGAAGTTTCATATAGAGAAATCAGACTTTTCGAATAGTGGAAAAATGTTTAATTGAATATATGTAAACCAAACTTCCAGTTGTCTTTTATCAATAAGATTAATGAACTGAACTCACCATTTCTATGTTAGGTTAAATGGTTGTACTGTTCCTTTGCAGATTTGTGTAAGCGAAGACAGTAATAACACAGAAGCAGCAAACCAGTGGAAAGAGACAGTTACAAATCCCGAAAAGGTTGTTATCCAGTGGCACAAATTAAATCCATCTTGAAGACTTCACATGTTATTTGGTGAAGAATTTGACATTCTTTTAGAAGACTTGTGATTTCAATTTGCTACCAATGAGAAGAGACAAATCAATATATTTCTCAAGTTATTTATGGAGGTCATAATTGTAGTATATAATGGACCTGTTAGAATACTGAACTTGATAAAAAGTGGTATGAATTAGATCAGATATCCAAAGTAAAGGAAATGTTTAAAAACTATTCCAAAATAGACAATAAAATAAAATGGTTGTATTATTAGGGCAACTAAATACATTTAAAGAATTAATGAGAATGTCAACCATGGGTAGTTACTGCCATATTATATTTATAGGTTATTTTCAAGCTTTACCTAGATATTCTTAATGTAGTATATCAAGTTCTCTGTTGGTACTATTACACATTTAGAAGACTTGACCACTATTTCAGTGCTAATCATTACTGATTATATCTTAACTTCACTGTTTACTTCTTGCTACATATTTTTCTCTCAGATAGCAAAAATTTCTGCTAATGAGTAGACCAAGTGCTCTGTGTTCGTGGTCTTTCATTTTCCTCCCTCTCGCCTTGTCTCCCACATGCCAGGAAATGGACGGTGACATTTTAGGCCAGAAGTACCCTTTGGCACAGCTCCAGCATGCCCTCTTCATTCTGGTTCCTCTGCTCTGTGTATCTTACTGAGATTTTTCCAAATGAACACTTAATTCCCCTTAGCCTAGACATTGCCTCCTCAAGCTATAACACGTACGTACTTCACAAGCGCTTTGCTCCTAATGACTAGAGTCTGTGGTGCGCTGGTGGTGTTGACAGGGGCTCTCTGTGCATTTTGAAATATTTTAAAAATTTTATGTATTGAATTTTAGAGAGTAAGAGGAAGGGGAGAGAGAGGGAAAGAGAAAGGAAGAAAGAGGTATCAATTTGTTGTTCTACTTACGTCTTTGTTGAGTCTTGCATGTGCCCTGACTGGGGATCGAACCCACAACCTTGACATAGCAGGGTGACACTCTAACCAACTGAGCTACCCAGCTAGGGCTGAAATACTTTTTTCGATTTGTGAAAAATGGCATATTGGTCAGTTCTCAAATGGACTTTTAAGATAAATCACCTTGTGTGGTAGTCTGTTGAATCTTTGAGACAAATGGCGACTATTTCAAATAAATTTTTAAAATAGACTTTGTTTCTGGTTCACAGCAAAGTTGAGAGGAGGGCACAGAGAGTTCCCTCATGTCCCCTCGCTCCACACAAGCACAGCCTCCCCCACTCTTAGCAGCTGCACGGAGCGGCATATTTGCTACACTGAACCTACACTGACATACACTACACTGACCTACACTGTGAACCTACACTGACATAGCAGGGTCACCTGAGAGCCATAGTTGACATGAGGGTCGCTCTTGTACATTCTGTGAGTTTTGATAAATGCATAACAACCTGTTTCACTGCTATAAAATCCTCTGCAAATGCAACTATTTTAATAGCTACCAGAAAAGTAAGTGTATTGGCTTTTAGATAATAAATAATGGATTTTATTGTTTTAAGAAATCTAGAATTTTCTTTGAGCAGTTTTTTTGTGTTCTATTATTGCTTTCAATTCCTGAATGTATTATTTGTAGTTGTGTATTTAACTCAATTTTAATTATTTTATTTAATTTTCAATATTTTTACAATATGTGTATAATGTATAATTAAAAGCTATGATTTCCTAGTTTGTTGTATATCTTAGGTAAATAAAACAATCAAAAGAAAACTTTTTCATTTAAGAGTCCTTTCAGTTAGAGGTATTGCTACAACTGAGATCCCAGATATGTTCATTAGCGTTTGCTTAAGCCTTCCTCAGGTGAAGGCGTACTGAACAGAGATCCTGGTTGTTTCTTTGAAGATTTATGTGGAAATATAAAAAGAAAATAACTCCTTACGAGGAAAACATTAGAAGCTGGTAATAAAAAAATGAGATGCTGTGCAAAAATCGCTTCCCCTTGTATTTGCGTAGGCATTTCTTGACCTTTGCTCACTAATCATGAGAAGGGAACCAAAACAACGCTGAGTGACCAGAGGAAGCCATGAGAGGGGCCTGCTGCTCGCTCATCCCTTGCTCAGCCCTCTTCCCTAACAGTGCATTTACTTAGAAGCTTTCAGGTGAATACAATTAAATATCAGCAGCCCATGTCAAAAGATAACAGCATCACTATTTGGCGTTCATTTAGTTTTGCATGGTTTTTTAGTATAACTCCTAGAGGAATGACCACCGAAGTATATCAGTTCCAGCTCTTATCAGACTGGTAAGAAGGAACCCGTGGGATTTGAAACATATGTCATATAATTGTGCTCTGAAAATAACGTCAACTGAACTTTTGTTTGAATTCAATTATATGAATTTCTCTGATACTAATGTGCTGAAACTGTATTTCCCAGCAACAATTTCCTTTGTTTGTTTAATGAAATAATTGCTTTTCTATGAAGGGTTTCAGAAATTCAAAATAAATTTCAATGTTTTATATTATGACCGTTACAGATATTTAAAAAATATACATATCTTCTCACTCTACATTGTCTCTCTGCAATCTCACCTATTTTCTTGACTCCAAGTGCTATCTACCAGCTGAAGGCTGTCAAATTTAGATCTTCACCCAAACCTCTCTAATGAGCTCCACTGTCATTTGGATAATGCAGACATTATTTCTCGAACATATCCCAGACCAAACTTTTGATTTCTCATTCTTTCCACAAACCCAGCCTTCCCTGTTCCCCATCTGAGTAAAAGGAACGACCTTTGCCCCACCCCCCGCCCGCTTGGCCAGCCCAGAAACCTAGGAGTCACTCCAGAGCTCCTCTTTCTCTCATCTCTCCTAACTCAATCCATTACCCTATTCAGAAGCACGTCCTGAGTGAGCTCCACTGTAACTTCCCTGGTCCGAGACAACATCACCTCCCACCTACAGAACCACTCTCTCCCTGGAAGTGGTCTCCGTCGTATTTCTCTCTAATCCATTCTCCACCTAGCAGCCAGAGTGACGCTTCTCAAATGCAGCTGGGATTACCATCCCTTAGGCTCCTGGTGTGAAGTCCAAAATCCTGAGCATGTCTGCAGCCAGCGTGGTCTGAGCCCTGCTTTCCATTCCAGCCTCACTGTGAACTCTTCCCCTGACCTGTCTTCAGTTCTTGGAGACTGTGCACACCCAGCATCCTTAGGGTCTTCATGTGCGCTTTGTGTGGGATAGTTTCCTCTTTATTCTGCCCTTTGCTAAGTCCTGGTCTTCTTTTAGACCTAGCTTAAATATCTGCTGCTCAGAAAAGTCCTTTTTTTTTTTTACATCTTAGGCACTGTTAAATTCTATTTTCCTATATGATTTTCCTTTATAGCTTTTATAATTGTGGTTACAGCGTTACATAACAGTTTTGTTTAATGTCTCTCCCATACTACAATTTTCATGAAAGCTGAGTCACATTGTTACGTTCCTCAGGGTAGCACAGTGCCTGGTGCATAAGAGGCACATAGTAAATATTTGTTTATTCATTCACTTACCAGATAGGCAGTATTTGGGGTGGTAGGAATATAGCAGTGAATAAGCAAAGAGGTGAACAAACACATTGGGTCATATTTTATTGCTCAGGAAAGCAGTAAAGGCTAGTACAGTATCTTGTTGAGAGAGAGAATGCTGGATTATATGTTACCACTACATTTACTTCAAAAATCCATTGATGTATTTAATTATAGAAAAGAGAAATATGTTAGCCTCACACTGAGGTATGGCCTAGGGAAAAAAAGACATAGAAAATTTTTTTTCTGAAATTCCAGGCAGTGTTTGTAACATAATTAGTGCTAACTTTTGAAGTTTGCTATTGAGATAGTCATCTGATTTTACCTTATTGTTGCATGTTAACAGCTTAATATATATCATAACCAAGCACACAAATTCTATGTTTACTTAAAACATTTGGTTTTTTGCAGGGAGCCAGGTAAGTTTGATTCCTTTATAAAATTTGAGAGATACTTACATTGTGTCCAGCTTGGAAAAGTTCCTATAAGATATAAATAACCTTATATTTAAGTTACTGTATTTAGCATGTTAAACAGGATTCCCAAGACTTCTGTAGAAAGGAAGAGGAGCAGGAGATGGTTTGGCAACAGTTCTGTCTGGAAAGACAGAAGGAGAATTTTGGAGACCTTTTCTGATAGAATTTAAGAAAGGGACTCTGGGAAGAGGGAGTAAGAGAAGCAAGTCTAACCCCATACAGGTCTCAGTGCTAAGGACTTGCCCTCGCAGGTAATAGGTCTGCAGATAAGGAAGGTGGAGAGGGTTGCTGAGTAACGTTTTCTTACTCATAGTGAAAAGGAACCCTGGGAAGAAGAACAGGTTGGCAGTCAGGAAGAAGAGAGGCCTATTGGAGGAAGAAAAGCTGATGGAGGACAGTTAAGGATGGAAAAGGAGCAAGGTAATGGTGCAGCTGAATAGTGAACTCTCAGTGAGTTGCCTATTTGTGTCCTAATACAGTATACTTTTTACATAAGTCACCCGGTCATAATTCAGCTTTCCTTCAGAGAAATGCTCATAAAATTCTTAATGATTCCCTTCCCCTCCTTTCCTCCTTCCTTCTTCCCGCCTTTCCTTCCTCTTTCTCTCCCCCTCCCCACTGTTTATCAAAATGCATGCTCAGTTTCTGCCTTCTTCCTAGAAAACCTGAAAACTGCTTTGATGTATTATAATAAAATCTTTGAGTGTTGTGTTTGAAAAAGACGGGAAGAGTCCTCCAGTGGAACTGCCCATCTACCTAGAATTTAGGAATATCAGGAAACGTTTATTCCAGAGCTGCTGTGTGCCTCTCGCATTAGGTGCTGGGAATGCACCTCGTAAGCAACAACTCTGCCCTCAGCAAGCTAATGTGGTAGTGAATGTATCAGAACATTGGGTTTTATGCAATGAGAGAGCAAATCGAAGATGAGAGAATCTGTGTGTGGTCTCCTTCTGTGGAACTGTTTTGTATACTAATTGTCATTTAATTTCTTCCTATCTTATTTCAAATACTCATGTTCATAATAATTGATGAATTATTACCTACAGTTTTGGGGTTTTTTTAAGTATATTTAAAGATATTATTTTCCTTGAGCTATTCTGAGCTAAAACAATTTGAAGACCAACCCACATGTAAATCAGTTTGTTTTTTTTTTGGCTTTAAAAGATAGTAAAGTTGATTTTCTAAATGTGATTTCTTTTTATTGACTTTAAATGAAAAAGACGATGGACATCCTTATATTGTGTTGAGTTATTTTTAGGGTATTTGGGAAGGCCAAAGAGAAAATGTGTCCAATTTTCTGCATTTACTTTCTTCGTGTATGTATTCATATTTCTACCCCTCAGTGGGGTCGTGTATATTATAAAAAAGTACTTTAGTCTTTACTATAAACATTTCATTTATTTTTCCTTACAGATACTGTATTTTTTTTTTAAATATATGGGCAAGGCAAAAGGAAGGGTGGGCTAAAGAGAGTGCGCTTTTGCAGGGAAATGGTGACATCAGGGGCCAAGAAAGCCAGGGTCAGCGGTAGGACCTGGTTTATGGTGTGTGCGTGTGCATGCCCCCACGCGTGTGTGCCCTTCCGTGCCTGCAACACACATGTCCTGTATCTTGTACAAAAATAACATCTGTTTTCTTGAAAGTGAGGGCAATAAATGATTCCAACTGGGTTGGAAGAGTGATGGAAACATTATGACAGATTTGATCGCAGTCAAGTTTGTTTCTTTTCCCGGTCTAGAAAGAGCTAACCTTAAGAAAATACAAAGGGGAAAAGTTTTCCCTTTCCATGTCCAAAAGAAAGTACGTTGCAGAAAAAATAACAAAGCAACAGAAGAATGTCAGAAATGACTGGCTTTGTTCTTTTGGCCTAGAGTGTACGGTTCTCTGTGGGCGAGAGCTGCGCCCGGTGCCTAGCGTCCGGTCTCCCTTTGCTGTGTGCATAAAAATGAGGTCATGGGGGTTCCTATTCCTCGTTCCTTCTTGAAAGCTGAGAGGGGTTTAAAAAAAAAATCTGTTTTCCCTAATGATATTACGTGGCTGTATAAAACAAGATAATAGTTTTTGACTCCTTTCTTCCCCAACACAGCAGTAATAATTTGCACCCAGCTTGTGAACCTTGAAAAAAGCCCCTCAGGTGATTCTGTTATACTCCTTATAGAATCAATGAAGTATGTAGGCCATGGTGAAACTCACACACATAACAAGACTGTGTAGTTTTTTTTGGCGGGGTGGGGGGAGCTCGATTTTTATCGTAAAATACACATAACGTAAAATTTACCGTCTTACCCTTTTTAAGTGTATAGTTTGTGGTATTAAATATATTCATATCAGCAGACACCACCATCTATCTCCATAACTCCTTCTGTCTTATAAAACCCACTAAAAATAACTCGTTCCTCCCTCCCCCAGCCCCCAGCAACCACCATTCCACTTGCTATCTCTGTGATCTGGACTACTCTGGGTCTCATGGGAGTAGAATCCTACAGTAGTTTTCCTTTTGTGACTGGTTTATTTCACCTAACACAATGTCCTAAAGGCTCGTCCATGTTACAGCATGTGTCAGAACTTTCTTACTTTTTAAGGCTGAACGAGGTTGCAGTGTATGTATTGTAGATACCACGTTTTGCTTATCCTTTCTTTCAACAGTGGACACTTAGGTTGCTTCCATATTTTAGCTATTGTGAATAACGCTGCTACAAGCACAAATGTACCTTCAAGATCCTGCCTTCAGTTCTTACGTGTATATATGCAGAAGTGGAATTTCTGGATCCTATGGTAATTCCATTTTTCATTTTTTGAGGGACCACCTTACTCTTGTCCATTGTTGCCATACCATTTTACATTCATGTGCTTATTGGCTATCTGCATATCTTCTTTGGAGAAATATCTATTCAAGTTCTTTGTTCTTTTTTGAGTGGAAGTTTTTTGGGTGTCGTTTCTGAGTTTGGGGGTTCTCTATATGTTCTGGATGTTCATCCTCAGTCATATTTATGGTCTGCAAATATATTCTCATTCTGTGGGCTGCCTTTTTTACGTTGTTGATATCTTCTGATGCACCAAGTTTTTTTAACTTTTATGAAGTCCAATTTGACTATTTTTACTTTTCTTGCCTGTGTCTTTGGTGTTGTATCCAAGAAATATTGTCAGTCCTAGGCCTTGAAATTTTATCTTCAGGCAGTTCACACATTAAAATGTAATTCATCCTTATGGGTTCCAGGAGTGCTTGTTTCTTATTAATATTATTGCCTAGATATTTTTCATGTCCTTGGAGTGGGATAAGTAAACTAGGTACACATATATTTTGTTTTTAAAATAGAATGTTGGAAGGTGTTATGTTAATCTTTTGGTCTTTGGGCCATATTTGTAGAACATTGACCCAATCAAATATTCCTTTGTAGAGACGACTCTTTTCAGGACCTTGTGTGCCTCCTGTTGCTTGCCACAGACCCGAGGAAAGCTTGGATGCTGCGTGAGAAGGGAGGTGGGAATGGCTGGGGGAGACCAAGACGCCTCGAGACAGCCTCACCTGCGTGAAGTCTGTGCGCACAGCGGCTGGGCCACCGCTCTGCAAGGCTTGGATTTTCATTCAGCCAGAACAGCAATAAATTAGGGGATTAGCTCAGCTAACAAAACTTTCCAAGGTCTGATGCACAAACTACAATGCTGGTTTCCTAATTTATAGAGGGAGGATAGTCCCTTCCAACGACAGAAATATTTATGTCTGCCTTCACAGTCAATCTCTGTTTTGTGTCAAGGCACCTGCAAAATTGAATTTTAGAAGCCAGATAATTGTTTGGAGCATTAAATCAAAACAAAGGGAAGTGAATTGTAGACAGTTATCCAGGCTCTGGTGTGGACGGTTGAACATCCCGCCGCAAGCAGGAGGCTGCCGAAGTTCCTCGCTGTCTGATGCCCATATTTAGTGTCTTTCTTCTGGAGAGCACAGGGCTCACGCAGCTTATTCTGCCTCTTCGACTTTCGCTTTTGCTATATTTCATGCTAATCATCTCTACCCATTTACAGACTCTTTGGCGAGGCAGGTTATCATTTAATCAATGAAGTCTCCGCTTGCTAGGTTATAATCGCGTTTTACAGCGTCTCCCAGACATGCCCAGGTCATCTGAAGTGCAGCTGTCGGCATTTGCACCACTCTGGTTGCCTGTAGATGTGTGTTCTGTAATAGATAAATGAAGCCTCTAGGTTTGTAGTTTCAGTTCTATTGACAGCACTTGAAGTATTTGACACAGTTGATTACAAAGCACTTATCTTCATTTTTGAGAAACTTTCTGATGCATTTTCTGCATTTAATGCATTTTGATGTATTAGCTGCACTGGCTTTAAGCACTGTAGGGGCCATGCTGGAGAATACGGCCCTGAATTCGATGGTAAGGGAACCGGACAGGATGTATGTGGTGCTTGGCTGGGGGGCTGCACAGTGCTAGGGAGGTGCGAGAAGTTGACCAGTGCAGCGTTCCTCCCCGGCTTGTTGCAGGAAGTCACAGGTCATGGGAGACTCTGTCACTGTTTGGGACTTGGATGACTGGAGCTCAGAGCTTCCAAATGGTGATCCGCTTTCCAAAGACACGGGGAAATGGCGGTTGGGAAAAGCCTGACTCAGCTCTGCGTGCTCCTCACCTCTCTAGCAGGATTTCTGTTTGTATTGCAAGGCCACTTGAACGGTTGGAAGTGTGCTGTTGGTACTGCCCAGCATCTCTGCTTGCCGCTCTGAAAGTGACAGCGTTCTCTTTTTCTGCCTTGGGAAGAAAATAACGAGAAACAGCTTTTTCATTCGACGTATGGTGTACAGCTGTTTTGTAGTCTTATATCATGGTATTACGTTTTAAAGACTTACCAGTATTCCCTGCACTGCCACAATGTTTTCTGCAAGTTTCAGAAGTAGACTTTCCTCATCATGAGTATGTTAGTTCATAATGTCACCAAATATTAAGAGATTCCTTCACTCAGTGCCGTCTTTACCCCATTGGTGGGGTGGTGGCGCTAAGTTACTGGAAAGCAATCTGCCGTCCTCGTTCTTAACCGACGTGACAGGGCTATCGTTATCAGGTAAGCGTTACCACAGCAGTATTTGCTAGAGAGCTACAAGTTCTAGTGCTGAAGCTACTGAGGAATTTACTTAACCTGAGGTTAACTTTCTGCTTGCTGTCTGTGGGGTCTGGTCACAATAACAGAAACCATTAATGATTTTCATTTGTGGGGGGTTACTATACTATACCTATAAAAAACAGCTGGAGGCTTACTTATAGAAAAGGCTGTTTGCTAAGATTTCAAATAATTTCATCATGGAGAAATAATGATGAGGAAAAAATACACACAAAGTTCTAGGCATGGAGATAAAACAGGAGTAATACATCACTTACCACCACTCGGGCCTCTTTGAGGAGGTTATTTAATGTCCATACCCAAAGAAAATGATAGGCACCTGAGAAATGCTTTATCTTATATAGGTAAATGACTTACTGTCCGTCCCAATAAATGGAGCTTTCAAGTCAGCTGATGTGTAACGGGCCAATATTATATGTGGGGTCCAGAGAAGACTATTTCTGTATTGTTTTTTCTGTTTTATAACTAAATCTATATACAGGTCATTTAAAATTTTTAATGTTTAAAGTTTACTTGGCGTACATTTCTCTCCTGCCTCCATGTGTGTCTGTGAGAAAGCCGTGGGAGAAAGTGCTCAGCCGACTTGTGTTGTGACAGGGCGGCCATTAATGGTCAGATAGTTCCCAGTGGGATCTGACTCAAGGTAAATAGCAGTAGTTAATATTAACTACGAGAGATTAATTACCTGCTAGAAGTCTCTTGAAATACTAGCCTGTCCTGAGAAAAAGAGAATTTGATGATATGTAAATCCATATCCTTTGGGAAGGCTGATTTCTCCTTTTCTCAGGATACAGAATAAGACACAGGCTGTGATAAAATCCCAGCACGCGAGATCACTAGCTCAGGTCTGGGGTTTTCTACGCGGGTGTCTCCTACACAGCCTTGCCCTTCTGGCCTAGGCTTACATTGTTTTTCCATCGCCTATAAACGCTGTGGTCAGTGCCTCCTTTTTTCTGCCCACTTTGCCTACCTAATTTCAGTGCAGCAGGAGAGTCTCAGCTTAGGATCACTTTCGCCAGGGAGCCTTTGGCATTGGCAGTTCTCTAGAGAAACAGAACCAACGTTACTTATAATAATGCATATTAAAATACTTTAATGCGATGGCGAGTGAAGTATAGTCCAACCCGGTATTGCCTTTCTTCAGTATTGGCCTTGACCGGGGTATGATCACCTACCTAATCATCTCTCTGAGCTGGAAAAAAAATTTTTAAATATATAATTAATATATTTTATGAATATATTTACTAACTAAAATGAATTTTAATGTATAAAGTAGTGTATTACTAACTGGCTCGCCCCTCACAGAGCCTGGGAAGTCCCACACCTGCGCTGGGGGCTGGCAGGCGCGAGCCCGCGAGAGCAGGTGGTGCGTTCTCACCCCACGGCCGGCGGGCGGGGGCCCAGGGGCCGCCGCTGCAGGCGAGGGCCCGAGCCGGGCTGCGGGAGGGTTCCCTCCAGCTCCGGGAGGCGCGTCTTGTTTCTTTTTTCTTTTTTTCCTATTTAGGCCTTTAAGGGATTGGGTGGAAGACAGTCCGCTTTACCCAAAGTCCACCGACTTAAATGATACTCTTATCCCAGACCACCTTCCGGTCCCATATGAATTCACCGTCACTCCGGCACCGCCCCCCGCCCCGCCCCCGCTTCTCACGCTAACCCAGGTTTGCGTTCAGGGCCCCTGAGGCCTGACTTACTGTTGGCAGTGCTCTGCCACTTTTGTTTTGAAAACAAAACAAAACAAAACAAAACATGAGAAATAACTTATTTTATAAAATTAAGAAATTTCAGCATTTGTGGTTTGCATAGCACTTGCAACAAGATTCTTCTCAGAATTCTGTGGTTTAGCTGCTCTACTTCTATTAATGTGACCCAGAGTTTCATTCATTTTAACCCATGATACCACTCTTTGAATTTGCAATTAGACCAGTAGGTCTTGAACTCTACATGAACTGTTGTTAGGCCGACTTTTCTTTGTCCTCTTCCAGTCCTGTTCTTCAGTAATTGATGACATATAATGTAAGTGTAGATTTTCACATTAGAATTCCTATTTTAAAATATTAATAGTTATTTAGCCTTGCAGAGCGATCTTAGAATCATAGAATCTTAGAGTAAAATGAACATTTTATAACAAAAACTGGAGTCCAAAGTAAATGTTGTATAGATTTATCAGCTAATTAGTGGCAGGGCTGAATCGAGGATTCATGTTTCCTAATGTTTAGTAGCCTTTGACTTGACAGACACCAAATACCTGCTACATCTCCAGGTAATGCATTAAGTGCTATATTTTGGTTAAAATCATTTTCGAACAAGTCACTGCCTGTTTCAGTTGTAGAGAGGAAATATTGGGATATCACATATTATCCAGGTAATATGGCTTTCTGTAATTTGAAAATCAATAGCCATTTCGTTATATCTTTGCCTTAGTTATTGATAAAATTCTTACAACAGTCAGGGTACGGATGTTGCTCTACTGTCTGCTACTTATTTTAATAAGTATGTTGTAGATGTCATTTATTTAACCATTACTTAACAATTAGAGTTCTATCTAGTTAAATTTTATTTATTTTGATATGACTGGAAAGGAAAAATATCTTGCTCTGAGGATGCGTTTTGCTTTGAGTTTTTGTTATTTCTAAATCAAAGTAAAGATTGACATGACAAACTGAAGAAATAAAGGAAATCTTGTTTTTACATTTATTATTTCTTAAATGCCACAAGTGACCGTAAAATAGCCTTCATTTGAATCAGTATGCTCAGTTGCCCGGCCCCTTTAAGAATAAGTGCATTTTACTTAAACCTATGGGAAATTGAGTTGAAACTCAATAAATGTTAATTCCTTTCTCTTTGATGGTATGCGGTGTTCCCGTGCAATGAAAGGCATGATAGTATGTGGGTTAAAAAATCATTGCAATTTAGTTTTAAATTTTTGCATTTAGTCACTAGAAGCATTTTGAATCACAGCTTAAAATGATTGCTTTGCTGCTGACTCTATGGGCGATTAGATTCTTGAGAACAAATACTCAACTTTGAGATCTTGGATCTGAAAGAGTGTTAAACATGTATTTGTTTGTCAAGTGCTCACAGGCAGTCCAAGTGCCTTGTGGTGTTGGTTGTGGAAGACGGGATCTAAGCCCTTCCCTAACGGAGGGGGCTCTGCCAAAGATACCAGAGAGGGGAGTACGCCTCTCGTTGCCGGATTCTGGAGGAGCAAGACTTGGGGGAAGTGCAGGGTGCAGGTCCCCCATCTCAGGAACCAGCTGAAAACTTGTGATTCCATTTCTGCTGTCACCCTACCTTTATTGACCGCAGCTGGTCTTTCAAAATTTTAAGACTCTTAGAAGATTTTCTAATGCACATTTCAATATAATCATTATCAAAGATGAGAGAGAATTATGTCAGACCTTCTTCAAAAATTGTAAGCTTGTTCTTAAATCCCTTTGAAAGAAATCAGCAATCCAGGAATGAATGCTTTCGTTTTAGCCTACTTCCTAGGGTTGCTGAGGCAGGGTACATTTCTAGTAATGAAACTGAGAATTCTTTCTTTCCTGGAAATTCTTCTTGGGAGTGTAAAATTTCCTGAGCAAGATGTGACATTGGCTATTTATGTAATATGTTGGATTTGACTGTCAGCTCTTTGTTTAATGAGGGTGTGAGAGGTTTGTGCCAAACAGGAATGTGAAGTCAAAGTTAAGTATGGTATCATCTTACTACACGTCACATGAACAAACCCGGATTCATAAGCAAATAGGTTGAACATTTAAATTTTACCAGCTCAGATAAGCCAGCTATAAATAGTTTTCTCTCTTAACTTGCATGCAGTTGGGGGAACTTTATCCTTTTTGCTTCAGGAAGATGTTTTTAGAAGAAAACTTGGCCCCCCAAATTGTGTCCCCAGGTTGGTGAACGTGTGAGGGAGGTTTCTTCGGTGACTGCAGCGTTCAAGGATGTGTGCTTCTAGTGCATGTAAATCACAACACGTGGCTGAGAGCTGAGTCTTTAGAATAATGCTTGACTTGCTAAGATTCAGGCCCCAGCTCTCCTCTGTCTCTAGCTCTTCGGTAAGTACTCAATTCTGCCATGCTACACTGCAAGATCTGTTTAGAACAAGTGCTTCCAGATCTTGCACAGACAGCATTTGTGGTCCACGCTGCTTTTTGGGATGCATTTGGAGAGCATGCTCTAGGGCCCTTCAGTAGCACATAAACCCTAACTCTCGGGAATTCCCGTAGTTACTACCTAGTCTATCTTGTGAGACAGCGTTTCTCTGCCTCAGCACTGTTGGCATTTTTGGCTGGGTAGCTGTTTGGCGTGGTGGGACTGAGGGTCTTGCCTGATCACTGTGGGAGACAGCAGCATCCTTGCCTTCTCAGTGAAAGGCAGGAGCACACTGTCCCCAGGATGACAGTCCAGAATGTCTCCGCCGATTGCCAAATCTCCCCGTTTGAGAATCACTGCTCCAAGACAAAATACAATGTTGGATAAAAGACGTTAGCAAGTACCTAGTTTTCATTTCTCTCTTTTTGTCCTGTGCTGTGACTTAGTTAAGATCTCGTGACTCCTCAGTCACAGGGATAACAGGGGTCTCTTACTTTTCAGCCAGCTGCTCTTCCCACCATAACACGCCTTCTCGGTTTGGGTTTCCTGAACTCTGAGCCCCTATTTGGGGGCTTGTCCACCACGGGGGTCCTGCTGGAGCACCGCCAGCCATTTAGTCACCTCCTGCACGCTGTGTGCGTAAAATCCGTAGCTCTCCTTAAATGTCCCCTTGCACGCATTGTTTTGGGTTGTTTCCCGAAACACAACTGTGAGGTGAGGATTTGTGTAAAAGTGGCTTATGAGGAAGTGTTCTCGGGACAAGCTGGTGGGGCAGTAGAGAAGGGGACCGGGAGAGAAGGAAACTAAACAAGGGCACCAGAGCAGGCACACTTCCAAGAGGTAGATGTAGCTCTGGCCCCGAGGAGGGTCCTGGAGGGTGCACCCCAGAATTACCCAGATGGGGTGCAAGGGAACTGGAGTATTTATGCTTCCCTGCCTAGCAGTCACTGGGTGAGGTAGAGTTTCTTAACCCGGGCGCTAGTGACATTTTGGGCTTAGTTCTTTGTTCTGTGTTACGGCTGTCTGGCCTTTGCATTGTAGGGTGTTCAGCAGCATCCCTGGCTTCAACCTGCTAAGATAGCACCCCAGACCCCTCCCAGTGGTCACAGCCAAAAATGCCTCTAGACATTTGGACCTCGGAAGGTCAGCATTGGCCCCAGTTGAGCGCCCCGGGTTTAAGGGTTGCCTCTGGGTGGCACGGAGCCCCAGGAGCCTCAGGCTTTGGGCACAGAGGTCTTTGGCCACCGGAGCAGCAACAGGCAGAGACCCCGGGAGCACACCAGCAGCCGGCGCGCAGGGAAGGCCAGTGAGTCCCAGTGGATACAGGCACAGCGCTGCCATCAGCTGCTCCACGTGCACGAACTTATTAAATCTCTACCCTTCAGCTACATGAGCAGGAGAGAGTGATCTGATATGAAGGGCCAGTTTCCCTTTAAGGGCTGGTCTTGGATTGGCAACTGAATGTGCTCTGTCTTATAGCCCTCCCCACAGCCACAGTACTTGAACCACCCTACCCTTGCTACCAACACCAACTGCTTCTTCCCTGGGGCTCATTTCTGTCTCTGGGGGAGTGGCTTGATTTGAAATCTGATTCAAGAAGGAGTTTAATGACTTGGCACCATCCCCGCACTGGAGTTTCTGGGTTTTGTTTTGCTGTATCACAGAAAGTCGCTGTGTGAGCTGTATTTTTCTAATCTTGGACCTATTTTCTTTCAGTCCTTCCTCCTGTCCGTTATTCACATATTCAGCAAGTGTTTACTGTGTGCCTACTACATGCCCAGCACTTTGCTAGGTGCTGGGAACGCAAGAGGAGATGTAGGAGAGGCGATCTCTGTGTTCAGGGAACTTCCGGTCCAGGAGAGGAGAAAGATAAGAAATGAGTCGTAGTTCAAACGGCAGGATTGTCAGACAGTGACCGTGAGTCCTCACTCTGGGTTTCCTGGACAATGAGAACGGGGGCCTCCTCGTTTCCCAGTAGGAGGGCCTGTGCCTAGTTCTTCTCTGGGGGGACTGTCCTCCCGGTAGAGGTGATTGCAGCTTCACAGGGAAGCTGGCACGCTTAGCTCCAGTGCCCAGCCTGCCTGGCACCAAGTGGCTGGTGTT